CCTGGTCTCCACACAAAATAAAAAGACTGGATGGCCTAGTAGGAAAAAAATTCCCAGAAGAAGTCAGGCCTCTATATACATAGGGCCTACCCAGAAAAATGAAATAAAAGATCTACACTAAGTCATATTTTCATAGTATCTCAGACCACCAGAGATAGAGAAAATGCTAGAAGTTTCCACACAAGGAAAAAATTAGTCCCATATGTGAAGATTCTGGAATGAGAATGGCAGCGGAATTCCCAGGAACACCATTGGAAACTGGCAGACAATGGAGCAAGGCCTTCAATATTTCAAAGAAAAATAATTTTTCAACTTACAACTCTCTATCTCACCAAACTGTTAGTCCAATGAGAGAGTAGAATCAAGATATTTTCCCTTCCTGGCTACCTTCACTCTGTGGCCATTAGAGACCAGGCTCCCCCAAAACGAGAGGGTAACCCCAGGAAGAGTAGGACAGGAGAGTCAGGACAAAGGGGGTTCTGCCCCAGGAGAGAGGAGAAAGGAGCCTCAGGACAGCAGCTACACCTAGACAGTGTCAGTCCACAAAGGCACTGGGGCCAGAAGGCTGGGGTGGTGGGAGAATGGGGGTCCAGGAGGAGAGGACACCTATAGGTAGACCACCTGCTGTGTGTGACCACCCAGAAAATCTCAGGCAATTCATTTGGAGAGTGTGGAAAGAAATAGCCATAATGACATGGAAAGTTGAGCAAACGAGAAATCAAATAGTAGTAGAGAGGAATATAGTACATATGCCTTACTTAGCTCAACTGTGAATAAGATTTAAATAGTAATAATGAGGTAAAAAGAATATTGGCGGAACCAACATTTTGATGTTTGCAGACTTGAAGAAGTATGAAGATGGGATAATATAAGAGTATAATACCAGACAATATAAGCGAATAATACCAGGCCAGGTGGCATTGCTCAGGCCTATAATCCTGCACTGTGGGTGGTCAAGGTGGGTAGATAGGCTTGGGCTCAGGAGCGTGAGCAACATAATGAGACCCCATTTCTTAAAACAAACAAACCAACCAACCACTGGATGTGGTGGCACATACCTCAGGAAGCTGAGGTAGAAGGATCATTTGTGCTGAGGAGCTCTGGCACTATGATGGGGCCACTGCACTCCAGCCTAGGGGACAGAGCGAGACCACTGTCTCCAAAAACAAAAACTGCATGCAAATATGCAATGTAGCAAAGAATATCTTAATAGAATCAAAAAACAGTAAATCCTAGAATGAGCTCTGAATACCTGTGGCTTACTAAAAAAGCTAACATACTTCCCAGAGCTTGCTGCCCTGCCAAAAATCAGAATTTTACGTCTAAGCAGTTTGTTTCCTAGAGGTGATTCTAACCACACACAGAATATCCTCCCAGTCCTATACAAAGTTCTCTGACAGATACAGTAAGATTTAAGGATCTCAAGAATCAGGAACTGTATCAATTCTCCATTTAAACAAACAAAAGAGAAGGAAAAGAAAGAAAAAAAAAATGTTCTGGTTGAGGTAACTTTGGAGAAATGATAAAACTCCAAAAGTAATTTTTCCCATCCCATTTCAAGCATTTCTTCAGTTAAAAAGACAAGTGACCTCAAAAGAAAACTTGATTCTGTCCCAATGTGGTGGCTCACACTGCAGTGAGCTACGATCATGCCACTGCACTCCAGGTTGAATGACAGAGGGAGAACATTTCTAAAAAATAAAAATAACTTGATTCTAAACTTTATTTTCTTTTTTAGCTAATATTATTATGTATGTTTTAATTTAGAAAAAAAATTATACTTTGTGAAAATACAAAAATGCCAGAAATAATGGCTTCCATATAATCTTATAGAAAGGTTTTATAAATAGACATACTAGCCCCTCTAATACATTTAGTTTTTTTTACCAATATTCTCAGTATTTACATCAAAGTGATTTCCCAAATGTTAAAGAGGAACTGGATATGATACTACACAGACACTTATTCCTCCTTTACAACTTAAACAAACTCAATGTTATTTAAAACATATGTTTATTACTACAAAGAGATTTTTATAATTGTTTTTAAAAGACAGGCCAGTGAGTACTTTGGCATTATGAAAAAATGTTTTGTTGAGCCAGATGAAATAGGAACATAGAACATATCTTCAAGGAAGAAAGGAAAAAAGACGTAATATTACTTTTGTGTACTTTTAGGTATAGAATAGATTTTGGGGAACTAGCTAAGAATACTTTGGTTAGAACATAAGCAGTCTTTGATTGATTTAAATGTTCTGAATTCAACACATATTTATTTAGTACCATGTGCTAACCACTTTGCAAGACACTTGGTATAATAGACCAGAATGGTCCCTACCCTTTTGTAATTTATAGAGTAATGGAAATGTTATTCAAAACTATCTTCTTTTTTTTTGTAATTCCATTCTTATCAAGCAACTTCTGAAATATAAATTCAGATACCCCCAAAACTTAATACTCATAACAATATATTATATTCCCAAAACAGTCTTCTAGCCAATGTATCAACATAACCCTATTTAAACTAATAAATCATTCAGATTTCTACGTCAGTCTTTCATGAGTTTAGTTAACTTGAGTGACTCCCAAAACCTGGCCAATTCTGACATAATTTTTGAAACTTCAGAGCTGAGAATCAAATATAATAGAAGTGAAATATGTCCATATAAATATCTTATCACTAGAGTATTTATCCTCTCATAAAATACCTTTATTTCATCATGCCCTTTAATTCATTAACCTATCATGAATAAATAAGATATACTTCCTAGCATTCTCAAATTTTAATGGCAGATATGTCAAAATGAAGACTGTGATTCAGCAGGTCAGGGGTAGGATGTGATTATTCAGGCTTCTGTCCACAGACCACAACAGCAT